CAAGATATGGGTCCTGCGCATGCGGGATCGTATTGCTGAGTCACTGGGCGCCAGATGTCCCGCCAGAGAAGTCACCTTGAGCAAAACAGCAAAAATCAAGAGGTAAGTCGAGTAGGAGGGGCTGGCAAAACGCAGAGCAGCCCCCTGCCCTCCTGCCTTCTCCCTCGCCCCGCCGCCCGGGGCTGAGCTTCCGCGGCGGGTCTGGGGCCAGCCCAGGATGCCGGCGGGTCTCAGACCTGGGCGGGCAGCGAAGCCAAGGGCCTGGTTCTCAAACAGTGATCTGCGGTGTCTTTGAGACTTCCCGCAGGAGCTCGTTAGCCCGCCGAGTCCGGCCCCCAGCTCCCGTGGGAGACCCTGATTTGTAATGTCTGGGCTGGTCCCGGCGATGGGCCGAGCTGGCCACGCTGACTCGAGAGAGCCGAGGGTTCCTTTTTCAGGAGTTGGTTGTTAAACATAGCTATCATTAAAATCAAGTTATATAAACTTATAATTAAGTTACATTAAAACAGACATATTTATTAGTACTTAAAACTTACCACTTCCTGATTATTTTATTTCAGTTTATTATATCTATGCTCTTGAGGTTACTTCCATCAGTTGTATCTACAGGGCAAAAATACTGTATCATGCTGGGCTATGGCAGATCTCTTCCTAACTTCATGTTGGTAGCCTGGGATTGTTTGGGTCGACGCTATTTACACCATGGAAATTGGCAAAGGCTATAAACCAGGTCGCCACCACCTGAAAGCAGGTGTTAAACATTTACGAGCATGTTACTGGGGGCGGGACCCAAACTCAAGCTGGAATGATGCCCAGAGGTGGTTCTGATTTAGATAGAAGCTCTTCTGGGAACAGCACTGCTAAGTGTAGACTCAGGGACCAGCTGCCTACCTCCTCCGTGCTCTCAGAAGAGAACTGAGGCATCTGCAACCAAAGCTCTAAAAATGACTTTGTGATCCTGGGCAGGGTACTTGCGTCTCTGCTTTAGTTCTGTCACCCTCTAGGGCCTTCTTGCCGGGTGATGGTGAGGATGAACTGAGCTAATGTATGTGAGAGTCCTAGGACAGTGCCTGGTAAGTAGGAGGCATTTGATAATTGCTACCTATTTATTATGATATGACGAGAGATAAAAAGTTTAGTCCATCAGGTTATAGTTTCTTTTATAACATTTATTTTTTTTCCTCCTTGTGAGAATCCTACAGGGTTTGTAGAAAATTTAG